ATTCCTCTGCAGAAAAGGCCACTTCGGAGACCAATACCACCGAAGACTGGGCGCTAATACTGGAGATCTGCGATCGCGTGGGAAGTGATCCAAACGGCGCCAAAGACTGTATGCGGGCTCTCATCAGACGACTCAACCACACTCTGCCTCATGTCGTCATGCAATCAATTACTGTAAGACTTATTTATTGCATCACTTGATGGCAATAACACCACTCATACCACTCATAACCACTCATTTCCATCTGATTCACAATCCCATGACAGCTATTGGACGCCTGTGTCAGCAATTGTGGCAAAATATTTCATTTGGAGGTAAAAACACTGATTATTTGTTTGCTATTACTTTGACATTATTTATCCCATCATTTCATTGACTCATTTATTTGTTTTGTCATCTCATTTGAAGCCATTGTTTGTCTTTTAATTACCTGTTTATTGACTTTTAATGTATTTATGGTTTTAATTACCTTTTATTTCACACAAAATGATGTCTTTTGTCATTATATGTTAAGAATATTAGATTAGATTTTAGTTTTACAAAATTTCATCTAATTTTACAATCAAATCGATTGGAGAAATGAATTTTATTTTAACATTAGTTGTGTTGAAGCGTTAGTATTGAAAATTTTATGTTAATTGACATATAATTTGATTGAAATAACCTATAATTTAACCCAATTATAGGTCTGTTCGCGTGATTTTGAGTCTGAAATTAGGAAACTGTTGAGTAAATCACATCCAAAAGTGTGCGAAAAACTAAAACAATTGATCAAAAAGTGGGCGCAACAGGAGTTCAAAAACGACCCGCAATTGTCTTTAATACCAGCGCTTTATAACAAACTGAAGAGCGAAGGCATGGACTTCACGTCATCAGAACCGGTGAAAAAGTCAACACAATTACCCAAAAATCCCGATATAGTGACCAGTAATCAAGAGGAGGAAGACATCGCCAAAGCCATCGAAGCGAGTCTTAAAGAGTCCGGCGGTTCTCCAAACACTTCACACAAATATAACAATTCCAACAATAATACTAAAGTGAGTCCACTNACACAATTACCCAAAAATCCCGATATAGTGACCAGTAATCAAGAGGAGGAAGACATCGCCAAAGCCATCGAAGCGAGTCTTAAAGAGTCCGGCGGTTCTCCAAACACTTCACACAAATATAACAATTCCAACAATAATACTAAAGTGAGTCCACTCTATCCGTCAGTCTTTGCCACCGATTCGACGGCAAACAACTCGTCTTCCGCCGCAAAGAATTCGTTGCCCGAAAAAGAGGCCATAAAAGTGAGGGCTCTTTACGACTTTGAAGCCGCAGAGGATAATGAGTTGACATTCAAATCCGGAGAAATTATACTCGTCTCCGATCACAGGTATTGATATATAATTTAATGCTTATATTATAACAATTGATATGACGTTATATAAACTTACGACTAAATGAATTACAAGTGACGCCAATTGGTGGAAAGGGTCTAACCATCGCGGAGAGGGTCTCTTTCCCGCAAACTTTGTCACCACTGACTTGGAAGCGGAACCCGAATCCAATTGTATTGCTATCTCTAATGTGTGTGTGATTTGTGTCTAATCTTTAATGTCGTTATTTTCAGTTAAAATAAATGAGAAAAAAGTTCAGTTCAGCGAAGAAATCAAAGTTAAGGTAAATGACCAGTAATCAAGAGGAGGAAGACATCGCCAAAGCCATCGAAGCGAGTCTTAAAGAGTCCGGCGGTTCTCCAAACACTTCACACAAATATAACAATTCCAACAATAATACTAAAGTGAGTCCACTGTATCCGTCAGTCTTTGCCGCCGATTCGACGCCAAACAACTCGTCTTCGGCCGCAAAGAATTCATTGCCCGAAAAAGAGGCCATAAAAGTGAGGGCTCTTTACGACTTTGAAGCCGCAGAGGATAATGAGTTGACATTCAAATCCGGAGAAATTATACTCGTTTCCGATCACAGGTATTGATATACTGTATAATTTAATGTTTATATTATGACAATTGATATGACGTTATATAAACTGACGACTAAATGAATTCCAAGTGACGCCAATTGGTGGAAAGGGTCTAACCATCGCGGAGAGGGTCTCTTTCCCGCAAACTTTGTCACCACTGACTTGGAAGCGGAGCCCGAATCCAATTGTATTGCTATCTCTAATGTGTGTGTGATTTGTGTCTAATCTTTAATGTCGTTATTTTCAGTTAAAATAAATGAGAAAAAAGTTCAGTTCAGCGAAGAAATCAAAGTTAAGGTAATGGAAAAGGAGACCGAAGTGGTGGAGATTGACGGCGAAAAGATCGATAGACTTCTCCATCTGATCCATGACTCGGACCCCAATGGAGAAAAGTCTGATTCCGAAGAGCTTCTTATACTCGAAGGTAATTCAGTCGCCAATCTATCAATTGATGCCAATATCTGTGATTATAATTGCAGAGCAATGCACAGCAATGGCGCCACTCATTGATCAAGAGTTACAACATGTGGACAGAAAGCACGCGGGGCTGACGGCTGCCAATCAACAGCTCACTTCAGCGCTCAATCTCTACCATTCCCTCATGAGAGAGAGCATTGCAATGATGAGCACTCCATACACGCAATATTATACGGGAGGAGTTGGTGTTCCCCCACAACCCCTTCAACAGCCATACATCGCTAATCAGGTGCCGTTCAGTGCAAACCCTTCACTACAACAACAACAGCCCACACAACCAACCAATCCTTTATACACTCAACCGATTCCACAAATGGCTACCATTTCGGCACATAATCAGGGATTACAACAACAACCGCAACAGCAAATGCCAAGCACTCAACCAATTGCTTCTTATCCTATGCCTGTGTATCAGCCCATGAGTCCACCGAACAATATGATGGCCCCTCAACCCGACGCCACACCTATTCCTCAATACCCAATGGCTAACACAAGTCAGCCTCAGATGACTGTCCCTCAAAATTATCTCTATTATCAAAACTCTTATAATTGAATGGTTTTCAGCATAAATGCCTAAATTGTATAAATTTATAAATATATTAATTGCAAAACAATTTTCAAAATACATTCATTTTAAAAATTATTTCCAAATTTATATTTAACTATTTGTTAAGATATTAAAAGCAATTTCTAATAAATATATTTAAAGTAAGATTTCGATCGCAATTTTATTAAAAACTTTTTTGCATTTAAATTACAATAAATTTTAGGAAAAAATAATTAATTAATGAAAACATAAGAAATGATGAACCGATCGGTTATTTAAAGACAACGGTAGAGAGCATTGCGCCCAACGTTTGGACAATATTGTTGGTCATGAGAACGTCCACATTCTCTTCCAGATGTCGTTTCGGGTCCTGTTTTCCCACATTCTTAATGGCCAACTGTTCGGGAGTGAGTTTGTCCTCCTCTTCCACCGCTTTATTGTAAGCTTTGGCCAACTCTAACATATCGATCACTGTCTTCTCGTTGTGGGAACAGTGGTCCACATAGTTCTGGAGCATAAGGCCATCCATCCAACTCTTCTTATGCAGATTGAGAAGCATTTTCTGTTCCAATTCATTCTTCCGGTAGTTTATGGCAATTGAATAGTAGTGACGATTCAAGCCGTGGATCAGCGCCTGTATGGACGGCTTCTTCAAGTGCCCCAAATTACTGGTGGTCTGTCGGGGCTCCTGACCCAAGACCATCATATTTGGGTTTATCAGTCGAAACGCGTCGATCACTACTTTGCCTTTCACTGATTGGATCGGATCTATCACTACAGCGACCGCGCGTTCCGACAGCGCTTCAAAACTCTGCTGTGTATTGATGTCGACGCCTGAGAGCCAACACCCGAACCCCGGATGCGAGTGATACCAACCGACCACCATCTCTGGCCGACCCGTCTGTTTCAACATATCCAACATTTTCGCCTGAAATACCGGATCCACGGCTTCCACACTAACGCCCTATACATGAGACAAACCGATGGTTAGAGTGACCGGCAATATAGAGGGAGCGGACATACGGTTCCGGACTGAGGCATCGCGAAGACGTCAATCACCCGAACGGTGTAGTCGTCGACGAACTCGCCTAACATAAGACCCATCACTTCCATGGGTACGCCAGCCCTTCCGTGTTTCAACATCTTCAGCAATGCCAACGACGATATGTACACCTGTTCTGCGGTGTCCACTACCGGGCCGTCCGTCGGCACTGAACTCTAAGGACAACAAACAAAACACTTGAGTCTCAGCCCAACAGACAATGCATTGACACAAACTGTGGTCACATACCTGTCCGAGTCCTCCCAAACCACTGCCCAATCGTAACAAACGGTCCATCGATTCAATTCAAAGTGATTTACAATTAATTAATAATCAAATCAAACGTTAACTCAATCTTAAAGACAGCAATGAATCCAATACTCAAGCAGTGAATCAGCGATTAATTCAAAGCCTTTTTATGTCATAAATGGCAACACATTTCGTGCCCTTTATATCAACTCAATTACAACACAACCAATACTAACGCTACTATTAAAAGGGACTAAACCTCACGACATGTCTGTTATGCCAATACATGCCGTTATTTATGAATGACTGAAACATGTGTTCACTTTTGTTTTGATTTGAAATTTAAACCAATTTTTGTGATCAATATTTGCGTTGAATTTAATCAACAATTTATGTTAATTAGGAAAACAATGAATCAGTTATTAAGACAATCATTAGTGAATCAATTGTGTGTTAAATGTGTTCAACACATGACTAGTCGTCCGATAAGTTTGTCGGCAATAATGACCTCAAATGCCATGAATTTGAGGCCAAATAACGAAAAGTATTTATTAAATGGCAATCAATTGGTGTTGAATGAGAGGTCCGGCGGACGACACGCGCGACTCGTGTGCACTTCAAACACGTGTTATACAAATGTGGAAAACTATACACCATTTGACACAATGGATGGTCTCATATATAAAGTCCGCCGATATTTCGGTTACTCATCGGTTCCTAAATATCGTCTCCGAAACACATCCGTCTATCTCTACGAGTCGGCCACCGATGGCGTCGATATCGAGAAGTTCTTCGTCCGTAAGCGCTGTTGAATCCATTGTCCGATTGTTTCGATTCACATAACGATATAATGTTTGTTTGTTTTCAGACCTCAATCTTCCGGACACTTATCTGTCGTGGTTTTTGGTGACTGAACTGCACGTATGGATGCTTATGATTAGGTCTATGGTTGAGGGCAAAGAGGGACGGCTTATGCGCAACGAAATCACGGCCAGAATGTGGGAGGACTGCGAGACACGGCTTAAGCTTATGACGGTATGCCTTGATTACTGTTTGACCATTTTGTTGTCAGTGTCTAATGATTGGTAACGCATAACCACAGCATATGCCACAATCTGTCCGTCGGAAAGGATTGGAGGACTTATTACAACAATTTCGGGCATCTCTTATAGCATACGACGAGGTATTGATTTGTTTGTATTTTGTATTAAAGAGTTTTGGGTTAAAATGTTTTCATATTTAGGGCTTTTTAACTGACGATAAAACACTGGCGGCCGCTCTTTGGAGGACATTATTTACCTATGAATCAGTTGATCCCAAATATCTTGAGCTTATCGTTCAGTACATACGGACCCAAGTATTACATCAATTCATTTGCTTTAGATTGAGATTAGATTTTTAAATACACTGTTTTGCATAGGATTTGAATCAATTAATTGCAATTAAATTGTTTAATAAATGATGTATATGTGATCTATAGGTCGAACACTTGCATACCATTGGGACCGAAAAGTTTTTCCTCGACGGGAAGATCACGTGGAAACCATTCCCACCGTTTTATCCATAGTTATTGTTTTGTAATTTATTTTGTGCATTCAATTTTAGTGTTTATTTAATGTAAAATCAGTTGTTTAGATAAAATACATTTGACGCCAAATAATTTTGCGAAATAAAATTTTGAAAAGTTTGGTATAAACACATCTCGGTTTGAATTATTAATGTTTGTTATCAATAATATTGAATATTTTTGAAATATTTTGATATCTTTTATAACATAAGTACTAAAGTTTGTATTGGTATAAATGGAAAAGAAGTGGCCTTCACATGAATCGGTGATAGAATTATGAAATTAATCTTATAATTTAGGTTTACATCTCTAAGCAACAGATTCCAAATTTCATTAAGTTTGTTTCAGTACTTAACGCACAGTAATTTTTAATGTAAACCAGTCGGCATTTTTTTGAAATATTTGATCAAAAATTATCCCATTTTTAAAATGATTTTTCAAAAATCAAAAATATATTTTAAGTGATTATTTAGTTATTGAAACTCACTATTAGTTATTTGATAACAGTTTAGAGAAGTAATCACGAGATCAATCATAATGGGAACCAAATGCGAACTCACCCAACACTTGCAGAACACCTGTCGATTACCGATAATTAATTGGCCAGAATTCGACTGCCTGTCAATGTTTGCCATTGAATAGCATATTGTTATAAATTATAATCCATTTATGATATAGTTTTCACTAGAGTAAGTATTTTGTATTATGTCTATTATTACATGAGTATGATTACCGGTAATATATCAGGCAGATTAGGCCAGGTACTTTATACCAGGCAGATTTCGACCGTCGGTAAATACAAAAACCGATCTTTCCCATAGAAATAAATTATTTTGCCTGGTCTAAGTAAAAAATTCCCGAGTGTTGAATACTTAACTGAATTTTATAAAACTTGGAATCTAGTGCCTAAAGATGTAAATTGAAATTATATGACTACCGTATTACGTCACATAAACGCCCATGGGGTATTAAATGAGGGGTCTCTGACTCAGGTACACTTCAAAATAGCATGGGGTATTACCTAGGTAAGCCCCCACCCTCTTTAAGAAACTTACATAATAGCCCATGGGTTGTTATCTCATATGAATAGCAATGAATACATTTATTTATCAAATTCAATGATTAATTATACATTTCAATTAAAACAATTTCTATTTAAAACATTCAGTCAACTATAATGTTTTCACATTTGACTCATTTTTTGAGTCAAAATAGCATGGGGTATTACCTAGGTAAGCCCCCACCCTCTCTAAGAAACTTGCATAATACCCCATGGGCGTTTATGTGACGTAATACGGTAATTCTATAATTTTATACACTGATACATAAGGACACCTCTTTTCCATTTATACCAATAATACAGGTACAGTATTGTGGTGCATGGCTTTGTTTTGAATTATTTTTATACTATCTAGTACAATTAGATGTTTTACTTTATTTTTATGTTGTTTCACATTTATATCTGAAAACTAATTCAGATATTTAATTCGACAATTTTATCATTCTATAATCCAAATAACATATAAATTTCAATTTAATTTTAAAATGTTTTATATGTCCAACAAAATAGATTAATTCAGTTTAATTAGAGTTTGAGTGCAAAGAAAGTTATGGTATATCAATACGTGTGGTCAGTGACCATTCAATTACCGATTTTCACACATTTTTAAACCAATGTTTGTCAGATGTGTGGCTATAGACTATAGTTTGTAACATTTACTCAACCGATTCTATAAATTGGTATTGAAAAGCATAGCAAATATTTGGTATTTCGGTAGCGGTGTGTACGGCCTTTGGACAGATCGGTAAAACTAGTTAATTATAAGTGGACTTAAGGCTGCACTTGTTTGTGCGGCCACACTGTGCAGTATAATTGATAATTTCATGTATGTGTGAGTCTTTCGTCACAATCTTTTCAAACTTCATGGGATTTTATATCATTTAATCTTATGATTTCATAAACAGTTTTGCACAACAATATTAGGCTCTACTCGAGAAGAATATGGTAAATGAGATATTTCTAGTTTTTACTGTAAATTCTTATCAAAATATCAACCAATGAAAAATAATCCAAAAACGGCTAAACTTTTGCAAACATTTAATATGAAAATAATATATGGGATGAGAAGAAATATTTCAAACCGATTATACAAAAGGACATAAAGTAATTGAATGGGAATTTCATATGAATTTCATATGAATTTATCATTAAAAACAAAAGAATAGAGAATAATATACAAATAAATGATTGAATAAACGATTTGTAATAACATTGATGGATTAGCGTTCAACCATTCAATCCTGTAATTACTATCTCATACACAAATGTGTAGTTTTAATAAAGTTTTTGAGCAAATATTTTATTACTAAAGAGGATTTGCCCTTAAGATTGGTTTCGCAGCACTGAATACACTGTGCGAGTGATTGGCAGCCAATGATGTCGTCCTTGTAGTGATAGAGACAACGCCGATAACTGGCTCTAACCACTCGACTCTAACCACTACTACACTAATACATGTTCACTAAACACTACAAATAGGCAATACATTAGCGACTCTTGCATTGGATTTTGTTGCCAATACTTTCTGCTCTTCTAATCACTTCATTCATTATTTGCTATTATTTCTCATTCAAGTAAGCATTTATTCTAATAGTTATTTCTATAATTGTTTTACATTTTTTAAATTTATTTATGAGTTTTTTGTTGTATTTATACTATTTGTTATGCTTTTGTTTATTTAAGCCTATTTTTATCGATTTTAACCCAAGATTTTCTCAATAATTTGGTTGAATAGTGTTGTTATACATGTATTATAATAATGATGTAGTTATTTATGAATATTGAGATAAATCATTGTGAAAGTCTAAAAACCCGTTTATCTCTCCCTTAGAATATTCTATGCTTTTATTCTACTTTCAGTTGAAGTCATGCAATGATATTAATTAATTGCTATACTATTCTGCATATTATGCTAAATATTGTGATAATCGGCACAATTTTTATGGCAATTATTTATTGAATGTGTCGTCATTTAAAGTCAACTATATTTATACTGAACTGTCATTAATNCAACTATATTTATACTGAACTGTCATTAATAAAGTATATTTATACTGATTAAGACATTTCATTAACTAATTTATTCATTATTTCAATACAAAAGTAATCTTGAATTTCTATCACTGATATAACTTGCGTTGGCTTTCAGTCAATTATGTTGTGAACATTTTAAATACAAAGTTTTATTCAATTTTTAAATTAACTATCAATTAATAATAATCTAATTATTTACTTTTTTTATAATACTGATTATTTTATTAATTTAAACATGTATTATTTCAATAATATTTACAATATTGTTTGTTTTTAAATTGTTTATTCAAATTATAAATTGCTTAAAGTTTTTATTGATTTATCATTGAATTTAAGTTGAAAAATATTTACTTATGGACTAAAAGTTTGATTTCTGTTATCATTGTAATGCATGTTTGGAATTTGCAGAATATTTTTAATTTGCAAAGTTTGACTTCATTTCAAAACTCGTTCATTTTAAACCTAATATGTATTAAATTTAGTATATTTTGTATTTTATGTTTAAATGAGCCGTTTTTATTGAGAAATGATTACTCTGTTTAGACTATCAGCAGGCATTATCTACACTAGGGTACACCCAGCATAAAACCGTTGTGTTGTAATTTGTAGACTATTCATATGTTAGTCACATATAGTGTACTCTAATATAAAGTCTATACTTTAAAAACACCTTGATGATTCAATAACCACGTCATATTATTAATGTCCCCTATTTTATTTTGCCGAGTTATAGTTTAGACCCTTAGCGACAGTAATACCAGTGCTGTCCAGAATAGTCTGGAAGTTCCCACTCCTCAGGCGATAGAAATATTTTTGTTTTGTAAATCCATGACTCAATTGATCGCTTGCCGTCTTTGCTATAAAACAAATGAGTTTTGGTTAGACTTTTAGAAAGATGTGTTAACTCTAACTTTATGTAAAATATTTACAGAATATACAACAGAATTTGAAAGAATCTTTAATATATTAAAAATATTTAAAAAACCAAAACATTTTTTGCTATTATTTTAAATGGAAAATGTTTTAATTATTTCGATGTTTGCACCACATTAAAAGTATAGTTGAAAAACATATGAAAATGTCACGTTTTTATAAAAATTTAGCCTAAATTAAATGTTAATACAAACATTTAAGTTGAGTGAAATTTTCATCCCTAATTATATTATAAACGGGAATTCATTGTATCGTCAGAACTGGATTTAATGGTCATTTACTGTTAGATTAGATCAAATAAACTAATTTACAACAAATATCTCGGGCTGATAGCCACAAACGACCGAGATATGGTCATTTTTGTGATCGCGTGTACGCGTGTAACTTAAGCATTGAAAAATGTTGTTTCACACAGTACTTGGGCTAATCACCAGCACTGCATTGCTATACTCCGTATGCGAAAAATCACAAAAATGACCATACTGTATCTCGATGGTTTCTGGCTATCAGCCCGAGATATTTATTGTAAATTAGTTTATTTGATCTAATCTAATAGTAAATCACCATTAAACCCAGTTCTGGCGATACAATGAATTCCCGTTTACTTGTAAATAAAGTATAAGTTATTTAAATAAAAAATTTTAAAAAATGTTAATTTATCCTAAATTGACCATTTGTTTTGCAAAAAGTTAATTTTTAATTACTATTACTCAATCAGTGGTAAAATCAATGCTTTGTAGTTTTATGTACATATTCACCTATAAACTATTAAGTGAAGTACACACAACATTATATTGTATTAAGTTAACATGTATTAAGTTAACTGTATATTTGTTTTCTTGAGAAAATATTTTAGAAATTTAATTAAATTATTTATACTGTAAAAACATGTATCAAATAATTATAACGGAATTAACAGCATATCGGAAATAATAACCTCTATTTATATATCCAATTGTCCTAAATATCATAAATACTTTATTAATAAAACTACAAAAATTGATAATTTAAAAACTATTGCATAAATCTGTCACTTAATAAAAATATATTTTATGATTATAAAGTTTAAAATGAATACTGTAAAATGATTTTAATTTTAGATTTAT